TTCCGACTGAATTGACCGTTTACACATGGCGAGTAGGCAGACCGAGTCGAGTCAAAACGGTGGTGGGGGAACAACTCAGCCTAGATACTACGCTCACCGCGAGTCCACTCGACTCGTTCAGTACTCGACCCAGTTTACTTGCCCTTTCATTTACATTAGTCGAGTGAGCCTGCTTTTTATCGCTCGCTACTTGACTCGTTCGCCTACTTCACCAAAGCCTTTAGGGAAAATTAGAACTTTCAACGCTCCACTTTGAAACGCTAAAAATAAAGAAAACGCATTTTTTATCAGTCTATATACGTTAGTACCGCGTCCTTCCTCCTTTTGAACTCTAACTTTTGAACTCGTTCTAAGCATCTGGGGGCACGACAGTGTCCCCGCCAATTCGAGCAAAAAAGTGGCACGGCCGTACCATACTTTTCCCGAAGCAATTCAGGCAATTTTCGACCCCCTCCCTATAACTTCGTAGTGAATAACCTAACAACATTTTATAGTGACTATAAGAAAGTTGAAAATCTTTTATGTTTTAAATATATAGATTGACTTGGCAATCGCACTAAGCAATCTAATTTAATATAATATGTATTACTTGTGAGATACATTGCGTTTTCATGCGACGGTCAAGTCAATCTATTTATTTAAAACATAAAAGATTTTTAACATTGATATGGTCACTATAAAATGTTGTTAGGTTAGCTAATTACGTAATAACTTAAAACAGAAGGACCCTTAAGTAGGGACTGAATAAATTAACCGACTTGGTATTACATGGATCTCACAACTTTTTACGGTAGAAGAACTGAGTTGCGAGACTTGTTTTTTACAAGTTATGTTTTTGATGGTTTATTTGACCTAAGTACCTACCTTCTCAAGAAATATTCATTATAAACATTCTCAACTTTGTTGAGCTTTGCCAAAATTCCGTACCGCTTAGTGTATTTTTAATTACTTAGTAGAGTAACATATAATATTACTAAGTAAAAATTAAATGATTTTCCGTTCAAGAGAAAGCCCTTTAAATAACAAGAGTATTTCTAAAACTTCATAATTATTATCATTACAGTCTTTCACAAGTCCACTGTTAAACAAAGCACGGTCCTGAGCCACCTGCATTAATCGACTTCCTGCATGTCTTACCAGGTCGTCACATCATTTAGGTGGGGGACGGCCTACAATTCGCCGGCTGATACAAGGCTGCCACTCGAGAATCTTTCTTCCACATCGGTTATCGATTCTTCGAGCTATATGGCCGGCCCATTACCACTTCAGCTTACTAATCTTTGGACTATGTCGGTCACTCTGGTTCTATTGCGGCTATCCTCATTCCTAAGTTTAGCATACCCCTCTCCATAGTCCGCTGAGTGACTTTGAGCTTCATCATACGGCCAACAGTGAAGAACCACGTCTTAGATCTATACGTCATCACTGGCAACACGCAATGGTTGTGCAATCTAAAACTTACAATAATTATAAAAAAATCAATTCTAAGAAATACATTTTGACAGCTGTCAGACTTATTGCACCAAGCATGCCAACCAAAAAATGGGATCGTAGAATATTCGATTCTTATAAAATTGATATCGATTATTTAGAGTTGGTAATCATTTACAGTTTGATTTGAATAATACCAGAATAAATTAAGAACGGATAATTTAAAACACAAGATTTATCAGATTCATCGTATTTGTTGTTACTGCTTATTTCTAGAGGCAAAGTAATAAAAATTTAAGAGTGAAACTACATAGATTAAAAATATATTTATTCAATCACTTTGTACAACTAGTTGAGTTGTCGTTGTTTAGAATAATTATTATTTGATTTTCAATAATGCAGGCAAAATTAATGTCTTTCGAAGTCATCCATAATCAATTTTTTTTGATTTTTCGACTTTTGCCCAATCATTATTTGTGACATGGGCACATGCTACAATGAATATAGAAGAATCAGTAAAAAAAAACCGAGTCACAAAATAAGATGACAAACATAATATGGTCGCCACACACGGTCAGTTCAACTGATCATTCCAACTGATCAGTTCAACCTAAAACTGTTGATATTTTTTTAAATAGTGGATTTTCTATTGGATTGATATTATTATATTCATATAATTTAAGGAATATAATTATAAAATATTTATATAATATTTTTAAAATTCCTAAAATTATATGAATATAAATATTCATATAATTTAAGAAATTTTAAAAATAAAAATTTTATTAAAGAAATAACACACTAAAAAAAATAATGATTCGATTATTTGAATATTTTAGCCGATTATTCGCATAACAATGAATTTTAATCATCCAAACACCACGATAACGTACGACATATTATTGAAACGACGTCGGGTAAAAGAGTTGATACTGGTTATTTTTTAATATTTTGCTTTGTTTGAAAGATTCGAATTTAAATTAGTTATAAAAAACCATACACGTTGTAATGAAATAACTTCATAATTATTCAGATTTACGTAAAAGGTTATAAATCGTGTGAGTACGCTTGTGCAAAGTTATTGCGGAATGATTAATGTCAAACGTCAAGTCAAGGTATTTCTTAGATTTGGTTGACTATAAAAACAATTCATCATCATCATCATCACATTGATCATTACAGCCCTTCACAAGTCCACTGCTGAACATAGGCCTCCCCCAAGTAATGCCACAAAGCACGGTCCTGAGCCACCTGCATCCACCGACTTCCTGCATGTCTTACCAGGTCGTCACTGCATCTAGTGGGGAGTCGTCCTACCGGTACGAGGCTGCCACTCGAGAACCTTTCTTCCCCATCAGTTATCCGTTCTTCGAGCTATATTGCCGGCCCATTGCCACTTCAGCTTACTAATCCGTTGGGCTATGTCGGTCACTCTGGTTTTACTGCGGATATCCTCATTTCTGAGTCTATCACGCAGAGAAACTCCGAGCATAGGCCTCTCCATAGCTCGCTGAGCCACCTTGAGCGTCCTCATACGGCCAGCAGTGAAGGACCACGTCTCTGATCCGTAAGTCATCACTGGCAACACGCACTGGTTGTACACTTTAGTTTTCAGAGATTGAGGTATACCTGACGAGAAGATGTGTCGTAATTTCCCGAACGCTGCCCAGCCGAGTTGAATCCATCGATTGACCTCTCGGTCGAAGTTGGACTTACCTAGTCGGACTATTTGTCCCAGGTAAACGTACTCGTCAACAACTTCGAGCATAGTGCTCCCAACAACTACCGGCATAGATGTGACATGGACATTAAACATGATCTTTGTTTTGTCCATGTTCATCTTAAGACCTATGCGTTGGGAGACACCATTGAGGTCATTGAGCATAGTATCCTAGTAGGTAAGGTCCTGCAGCGATTCTGCCATAAGGACTATATCGTCGGCAAATCGAAGGTGAGTGATATACTCGCCATTGATGTTAATACCGTATTAACCGTTTTCTTTGTAAAAGAAAGGATACGGTATCAACGGTTTTCATTGTGAAGAGTTTCGGGGATATAACGTCACCCTGTCTTACACCTCTCTGCAGTTGGATAGGTTTCGAACTCTGGTTCTGTACTCGGATAGCCTTCGTAGCCCTACTGTACAAATACTTCAGCACTTCGATATACCGACAGTCAACTTGGCACCGCTGAAGGGACTGTAGCACCGCCCAAATTTCGACGGAATCAAAGGCTTTCTCATAGTCCACATACACCAGGCAAAGTGGCAGATTGTACTCTTCGGTCTTCTGTACAACCTGCCGCAGGGTATGTATGTGGTCTATGGTACTGAAGCCTTTTCGGAAACCGGCTTGTTCGGGAGGCTGGAAGTCGTCGAGTCTGCGTGCGAGACAATTCGTAATGACTCTCGAAAACAGCACGTAGACGCGGCTCAGAAGGGAAATCAGTCTGTAGTTCTTCAAGAGAGCGTTGTCGCCTTTCTTAAAGAACAAGACCACCGCACTTCTGCTCCACGCCTCCGAAGTAGTGCCACCATGGAGGACGGAATTGAAGAGCTTCTGAAGGACTTCAAGTACCGGTGTTCCACCCGCTTTCAGAAGTTTCGCTGTAATTCCAACCTCGCCTGGGGCCCTGCCATTTTTAAGGTGCTGGAGAGCCATTCTAATCTTTCAGACTGGCCTCCGGGATATCATCGAAATAGTGTCGGGTAAGACTTGCTCTTGGATCGTTACTCACACTTGCGTGTGGCTCCAACGATGATGTGTACAGCTGCCCATAGAACCTCTCAATCTCACTCAAAATCTCAGGTGTCCCGGAAACGATGCTGCCACACTCAGTCTTCAGCTTTGACAGTTGGATCTTACTGGCAGACAGTTCTCTGGCAAAGACTTTGGAGCCCTGGTTCCGCTCGATCGCTTCTTTAATACGAGCAGTATTAAAGTTGCGTAAGTCTCGCCGCACGCATTTGGAGATCTGTCTGTTCAGTTGCCTGTATGCTGTCAAATCTGTTGACGATTGCAGCCTCATCTCCCGTCTAACAGCCATGAGATTAAGAGTGTGATCGGAGAGTTTTTGTGTTCTTCTGCGGCGGGTCTTGCAGAACTTAGCTCCGACCGCATGGACAGTTTCCACGAGCTTGTCATTCATATCGTCCACTGCATTGCAATCTTCTAGGCACTTAAATCGGTTACGTAACTCGAGTTGAAAAGTCTCGGGATTCTGGATTAGAGCACGATGGGGACGGAGCGTTGACTTCATTAGACGAGACTCTGCCTCTAACCATTCGGTGATCGCTGTCGGTTTTCACCCTTGCGATCACTGAGACATCACTGAAAAGTTGGCGTCTGGTCGTCATAGTGAAGTCAATCTCATTTTTTGTCGAACCGTCGGGGCTCGACCAGGTCCACTTCCTGTGGGGCCGCTTAAACAATTACAATAACCTAATTGAAAATTCGTAAGAGAATTAATATTAAAACAATTAATATATAATTTTTATTCTTTATTGGAATAACAAAAATATATTAAATTAGAAACACAAAAATACTATCCAGAAGACAAATAATAGCACATTAAATGCTTACGAATTTAGTTGGACCTGGAAGCTCCGATGACTTATAATGGGATGGGTCAGGCTGAGGACCGACTCGAGAGCGTAAATTACGCGTAAGATGCCAACATCTACCGTACAACGGTTTCTGATGAAGAGCACTGTCTTTCATTCGCCAGCCATAATCCCAATTGCAACATTCAGCGAAATAGTATTTATTCTCGAGCCATGATTCCGAACGTTTTTTCAAATACTGTTTTCTGCCGAATTCGGGTTTTGGTTTATAGATGATTTCGTTTAGTTGCGTATCAACTGGACGCATAATTGGATCCAATGATAAATCACTATCGGGTCTTTTAAGTCTGCAGTCTTTTGCTGGGTCTCCAAGATTGACGTCTACTATCGAATGACCGTGACGTAAATGTTTGACTCCTGGTATGAATTTACCATCCCGTAGACCTTTCTTTCTTCTATTACTACCAGCAACAATATGGTCTCTAGTCGTCGTCGCCAATCCTTCAATCATAGTGTGAGCAATGACATCAGTTTCAAAATAATTAGTTGGTTCTCGGTTAAGAGTAGCAGCTTGCTGAATTTTCTCGCGATGTTTGTGGATCCAATTTAACCGCAGTCGGTTTTCTTTTTCGTAATTTTCTATAAGAAATATAATCACTGCAGGATTCGTTATATCAATCAGAGGCATTTTAGATAAATTATGCAGCAATGTTTAATAAAATAAAAGTGACAATCTCGGCTAAAAGAAATAAAAAAATGTTCATGACATTGTTAAATGTCAATTTCAGTTTTTCAGTCATAGAGCAACATGGGCCATGGGGCCAACCTCCGGTCTGACTGCCAGTGGCCCGTGTCGAAATTAAAGAATATATGAATAATCACTACGTTTTAATCGAAACGGTGAATTATAATAAAATATTGAAAAACACTATTACTTGACACGAAACTTGGTTTTCCAAGTCCAGTGCAGTACCAGTTTTAACTTGTATTGAGCTATTCTAGTCAAATATTAAGTATCTATGTTTTTGTTTTGTCACAAAAATAGAAATGTTAAAAATGTAGTAAAACTTAGATTTATGAAAAATAATGAGGTAGTAATAAAGTAAATTATTATAGCTCAGTAATTTTATGGTAAACTAAACATCCTAAACGTTGAGATTGTTTTTTCGATATGAATTATTATCTGTTCCATCAAATATTTCACCAACGGCAATGCTCTCGTAATAATAAGTTGAATGTAAAATTAAATCCACTTCTGGGTATATAATAGTATCCAATGTTCTTTAAAAATAAGATTTAATTTACATTATTACATATTGATTCCTATATTTACGCGAATACTGTAAAGTGCTCGAAACGTCGGGAATTGAAAAAGAAAAACAAATGAAACGCGATAAAATCCTTTATAAAATATTCGCTTGTTATACAGATGATAATCATCCATAAGTACCATAGAAGTTGATTCACAGGAAAATAAAATCAGCATTATTTATTAAGAGTATATTAAAGAAACTTATTTCATTTTGACTGAACTTGGGTTGTGACATTGTGACAAGTGATAACTTAATATTGTTACTTCCCTTCTATTGTAGTAGTAATCAATGTTGATTAGTTAATATATTTTTGCCTCAACACCGTTCAACTTCCCATCCGCAATGTCTTGATTGAAAGCACTTGCGGACAAATCTTGTTGTTCTTGGTGCGCGTGTTCTTACAGTAAATTAAGCATGGAATTTTGCAGGGACTTGACAACCGGCGGATTGCTGCTTTGTATAATAGCTTACATTGTAATTTGAAGTAAATTTTGATACATCTAACTATGAAAACAGTTCTACTATGTTGATATAAACCTCGCTCCGTCTATCTTTTATTCTTCTCTATTTGAACTCTCTTTTTTTGTTGAATGCTCCATGTATATTATGTATAATTATAAATATGTATGTGTTTTATTGTAAGTTGTGATTTTGGGAATTACAAAATGCTGGCTTTTAAATCCTTTTATAAACAATCATAATATCAACATTTAAAAATTATTAAATATGTCTTTTATAATGCAACACACACGCCCTTGCTATAGCTTCTTTACTTCTTGGTAGCTTTTGGTAGCTTTTTCATTCACCCAGAATACCTAAAGCCTTTTCAGAATGCGCTAACATGGGTGCATAATTTTAAATATTTGATTCTCCTTCTCATCGCCTTACTACGTCGGGCAAGCTGGTTTTTAAGTGTTTTTTTTTTATTAATTTGGATTGCCAATGTAAACAACGAATGTATGATTGTAACGCAGTATTATAGATTTTACATAATTAATTGGTTTTATACGTGGTAGAGCCATGCTGCAGTTATATTAGTAGTATAGTTGTAGCACGAATGGGTCGGCTCGACTGGGGAAGGACCACGCTCTCACAGAATACCAGCGTGAAATAGTAGCTTAATGCTGCTGTATTTCGTATGGTGAGTGTAGAGAACCGGAGACCCTTTTTACTGGAAACGAGGCATTCCATCTTAGTCCTCACGGGTGACAACGCATCTGCATTTTGATTCTTAATCGAGGATAGATGTAGATGTCTATGGGCCACAGCAACCACTTACCATCAGGTGGGTTGTGTGCTCGTTTGTCACCCTATCCTATAAAAAAAATTATAGACAATCACGGCGTTTTGTTACAAAAAGTTAAACAAATTAAATTAAAATGTATTAATAATCAAAAAAAAAGACGTGTGGCACTCGGGGACTGCCGCGGTTAAGCTATTGCATAGCATTTTGTGTCAACTTATGCAATTATAATTATTTATTTATTTTATTTATGCAGTATTTCTTTTTCTTTGATATTAATTCAAATTACTTAGGTTAATCCAATCAAATTCAACCAGATTTAACCGAACCCGCGTTATAACGAACTCACTATTTGTGAAAAATACTGTATCACCGGACCGCGTCGCAAAAAACTCAGGTTCGTACATACGTCAGGGCGGCCGTACGGTAATTATATTAACAAGACGCGCAACTACTCAGTTCCACGCTCCTCGGCAAGATTTGTCACTTATTATTTATTGTCCAATTAATTGTCTTTAAGTTCAAATGGCACGCTCTATTAACATAAGTCTAAGACAAAACAAAGAGACTTTCAATATATGAACAACCCGGCTTCGCGTTTGTGTTAGTAAAATAAGCTCTTATTAAGTTAGCTTAGAGTTTAAATTAGTGTAAGCTATACGCAATCCTTGTGGCATAATGAATGTAGGTAGTATTTTATTGACTCCCATTGTCTCGGCCGACGCGACGGTTGGACCGTAAACGTAAACAGATGACGTTTTCTAACGATAATGAATATAATATTATAACAATCTATGGTTCATTATTCTAATGTGTTGTAAGATTAAAAATATATAATGAAATATATTATCTGTTGTATGTTATAACGCCCAACTTTAGGGGTGACCGACCGCGCGCACAAATGCAGCTAGCCTCCCCCCTCCCGCACCTCACTAATCGTCGCTTCACACCGCTTGAGATAAGACGATCTACTATCAGGCGCTAACAAACCCCCATCCCGGACATAAGGACCTATGTCCGCGAGTAAATTGGCAATTTGAAGACGCTTTGTATTGTTGGTTTTTACAAAAACGATCAACTGGGCAAATGATATCTGGCCCTTTGCTTTGTGAAAAAGCATTACAGTTAAATAAAAAATTAGGTGACGGCGGCTCGTTTGTCGCAAGTAACGGATGGTTATATAGATTTATATCTCTTCATGGAATTTAATCAATGTTTATTAAAAAATATTAATTTCTTAATAAACATTGATTTTCGTTGAAATTGTTGTTTTTAATAAACACATAACATTATGTATGTACATATGTACTACAAATGCACAAAACCCGCTTTTTTTTCATACATTCGATCATCCGGATTTTCGATTATCCGAATCCCTAACGGCAACAATTAGTCCGGTTAATAGAGTATATATATACATATTGAGAATCTAAATTGAGAATTTAAACTATACGCGTGTGTGTGTTTGTGTGTATATAAAGAGGGCTACTTTTATTATTATATCGCTCATTTTAATATCAAAAATTTAGGTTATCTTTATAGCAGTATTATATTTTTAATTCAAAATTAGTACTGCATTTGTGATAATAATAAAATGTAGGTATGTATATAGAGTACTCACTCATTTTCTTTCACTATTTTTTCGTGACTTTCTTCATTAATAATAAATGCACTTTGTTCATTCATATTCAAAATTTCAAAACACTTTATACACAAACACCGTGTCGAAGACTGAGGAAAAGAAACGACGTTAGACCATCGTTAGACAATGCACGGCCTTCAAGCCACACCTCCGTGCCCGTCGGAGAGCGTGAGGTTTTTTTCGTTACGAAATTTCTGGATTTTCCCGCACTCAAGGCCCGCGATAGAAGCTATGCAATAGCTTAAAAATAAAAATATAAAAGAAGTTAAAGCTGATTTGTGCCGCAGCAGTTCAACGTACGTCAATATGCTTAAGTTTGGTAATGAATTGAGTGAGGGTAATGGTGAATGTCTAGGTCGGGTATATTTTTGGTGAGATTGTCGTCGCAGTCCAAGTTTGTTTTATAAAACTTATTTAAATAAAAGAAAACATGAATATCATGTTATTCTGGATGGTACGTTAAATTATAATTTGGACAATATAGGGCACAGTCGATGTAGTTATTTACAATCTTATAAAGGACTTATGACCGACACACACGTTTTAACTGATTAGTTCAAACGGTTTTAAGCCAAAGAAAGTTCCACACACACACGGTCAGTCCAACTGACAAGTCCAAATGATCAGTTCAAACAAGGACTGTTGATATTTTTTAAAATATCGGATTTTCGATATATCGATAGTTATTAATAATGTATGAATATGTATATCAATATCGGAGTTTTATAAATCGAAAAAATATCGATATATCGCCTTTATTTTTTTTAAAACAATCTTAATTTATTTAGTTCAGTTTATTTATTTATATTTATTAAGCAAATTCAATTTCAATGTATGAAAATGTTAGATTATAGTTCTAAATAATTTTTGTTTTATTTAAATAAGTGTATTAGTATTTAAATAATTGTGTGTACCAATCTACCAATATTATCATTAAGAGTTTTCAAAAATACTCGTTGTTTTATATGTTTAGCTGTTTGACTACTACGATTTTGGGTACTAAAAGATTGATAGTAGAAGCACTGATACTACAGTACAGATGTAGCTGAAGAAATCAAATATTTAACAGCTATTTCTGATATAATGGAAGTAAACTGCCTACTCAGCGGACAGTCGATGACGACAGTAACTCAAGTTCATAAGACACCTAAGTGATCAAAATATTTTGAGATTTATATTAACATCGAAGGACTTGTTTCGTTGTTTTTTCTAATAGTTCACATGAGCAGACACTTAATACACAAAATCGCATCACTTTTACGTAAAACTCACTTCAAATCATTATTTAAACGATAAAACAGGAGCAACAACCAGTCAACTTTCAAGTTCCCACCAAAACTCACAGTAAGTAAAGTAGTACAAAGTTTCGTAGCTTATAGTAATTTTAATATTACAGAGATATACTATACAAAATTACATTTCTTTCTAATTTATTCTATGCTTAAATTTTAATTTTAGGTTTAGAAGTGTCACAGATGAAATTGCGTTAC